ATGGAAATAGTTAATTTCCAAATATAAAAATGGGATCAATATTCTTTGAATGTCCAACTTTGATACTGATTACATTTGAAGTGGACACAGACCCATCTTTTAGCAGGAATGTATTTTTTAACTGATAGAAAAGTAGAAAAAGAATGCCATAACCATGAAAAAGAAAATTAAGCTAATTTTATAGAAGGGCTTTGATGTTCATTGAGTAGAAATTTCCTGGTATTGAATTGAACTCTGTTATAAGCCAGATAAATAGAACTACAGAAATTTAATGTGAATTGATTTGGCATACAGTCGACTATTACCCAAGAGTTGACTATTACCCAAATGTAACTTTTAATACATAAAATCTATGGAGAAATTAAAATAGAGCATCACTTTTGCTATAGCCTTCCCTTGTCAATTTTCATAATGGACCAGAGAACTTTTGTAATAATAGAAAAAAAAATGCAAGTAATGGATGATTAATGGTAGGTTCCTATTTCTTTCTCCATTGTTTATTTTACTTATTCATTTATTAAGTACTTGGCACAGAGGTACAAATAGAAAGATGCAACTTCTGCCCCCAAAGGAATCAGCATCTGATAGGGCAAAGAAGGATGTGCCTGCAGGAGAATTTTGGATAATGGATTTAGAGTATGACAAGCTATCAGACAGGGTCTCATGGGACATGGTTTAAAAGGTCGTCATGACCCAGCCGGCATGGCTCAGCGGTTGAGCAACAACCTATGATCCAAGAGACTGCGGTTCAATTCCTGGTCAGGGCACATGCCGGGTTGCAGGCTCGATCCCCAGTCGGGGTGTATGCAGGAGGCAGCCCATCAATGACTCTCTCATCATTGATGTTCCTGTCTCTCTCTCCTTCTCCCTTCCTTTCTCTGAAATCAATAAAGATATTAAAAAAAAAAAAAAAAAAAAGATTGTCATGGTCTAGGGTCAGTTTTTTACTTTGCAAGTCCAAAGACAGGGTTTGGTCAATATAACCAGAGTTATTTGGCCTCAGGAGAACTGACTTATAGTAGCCAAGCCCACAATAGAATAAACCAGAATACCATTTGATAATGTGCATTCAGAACTAGAATTAATAAGAAGATCAGGAGACATTCATTGGCTGTGCATTCTCTCTAACTAGCAAAATCTAAGTGGGGAATCACATTATAAACAAGTGGATTGTTGAGACTGCATTCAGAGCAAAGGCAATGAGTGGAAGACTTGGCAAATGGTGATGTTAAACTGTAACTTCTCATTGGTGCCAAGTCTGGTTAGTCCCCCAGTGGATCCCAGACTGATGGATCCCAGCCTTTCCTTTTAAGGATACTGAGAAAAGTGCTCTGGTCATGCAAGTCCCCCCTTTTTTTTCTTTGGCCCATTCTTTCCCCAGATGAATTAAAACCACTGACTAGCCTGTGGGTTGGTGGGGTTTTAGTGTTGTTTAATTCAGATTTAATTAGAGTTCTGGGAAGTTTTTACTCTGACATAGAATGCATTTTCAGTTCTAGGATTTAATGTGTTTGTTTCTTCTATGTGTATGTGTGTGCGTGCGTGCACCCAAAGAGCTAATCTCATTTACTGTGTCTTGATATCGCTCATTTAACTTTCTGAGGGTAAGCTTCTCTCCAAGTTTCAAGTGTATTTAGTACTTGTACTGAATACACTTGTACTCATTCTATACAATTCAGCTTAAGCATCTTTGCCTCAGGACACACCTTCTTGATGTCTTCTCTTCCCTGTCAGATTTTGCCTCTCCTACTCTTTCCTCTCTTATCAGCCCGTGTGTCTGTGTTCTTTTCTCTCATATCCTTCTGTAGTATTTATTATATTCTAATAATTTATTTCCTTGTCTTCCTCTGTCATCAGCCTATAAACTCTGTAAGAACTATATTTTACTTAATGTTGTGTCTCCAATGCTAGTTCAGTGTCTGTTGGTAGAAAGTAGGAACCCAGTAGAGGTTAGGGAGGGAGGAAGGATGGGTAGAGGGATGGAGTGATATTTATACTAAGCCCTTAAGTGATCAGTAGACTGTTCTTTGGGAAGAGAAGCCACTAACGTCCCTTATCAAGGTCTAACAGTCATTTTTCTCTTACTTGAGTGCTCTTAAGATACTGACTGAATAGATGGTGAGTGTGGAAACCAGATTGTAGCTTAGTATGTAACCTCAATACTTCTGTCCTGGTGTTGTACTGTGATTAGCATTTGTAAGACATTTTCATGAAAATGGCAATATTTCCAGTATTTTAATTAGGAGATGGTTCCTAGTCTCTTACAGTCTTGTTACAGTTACCTATTGCTGTGAATAACAAATCTCCCCAAAGCCTAGTAAGACAACAATTTATTGTTTCTCACAATTCTGAAATCTGGTTGAGGCTAAGTCAGGTAGTTCTGCTTTATTTAGTGTCTACATGGGCTGGGATGTCCAAGATGACTTCTTCACTCACATTGAGGTTCCTCAGCCAGGATGGCTAGAACCAATGGGAGGTTGGTGGGGCATCTTTCTATATATGGCCTCTCCATATGACTAGCTTGGACTTCTTCACAGCATAGTGGCCTCAAGGTGGTAGATCTTTTAATGTGCTGGTTGTCCTCCAAAAGGGAAGAATCAGAAGCTGCCAGTTCTCCTAAAGACTAGGTTTGGAACTGGTACAGTGTCACTTCTGCCTCATTTTATTGGAGGAAGGCAGCCCAGATTCAAGGGGAGGGGAAATAGGCTCCTCCTTTTGGTGTGATGGACAGTATGCACTTATAGGAAAGGATAGGAGGCACCTAAAAATGAGGATCTAAAACAGATATGTACAAAAAGAACTGTACATAAAAATAACATTTAAGCTAGATATATATACTAAAGAATCATGTCTAATTTAAGTGACTGGTTTTAAAGAAGTGTACTAAGTTTATTTGAATGAAATCTCTGGGGGAATAAAGGGGATCTGTGTAGTCAGAAAACTAAGCTTTATCAAAATCAGAGTTAGGATGCTCAGTAATGGAGTCAAACCTAGTATTCTGGTATTGGTGGATGACTGGTTTAATTATGTTTAGTGCTCTCTTATTTGTTAAAAGTCAAGTCTCTAATGATTTTTGCTTTCCTTTTAAAGTGAGAGCATAATATCACTTTGATCCATGAGAATCAGAGATACTCATTTCCTATTATTTTTCTCACCTTAAAGGGGTGCTTAGAAAAGTGTCACATAATTAAAGTTTCTTGAGTTGGTAATTCACTGGGAAAATTTTGTAATACTGTTCTCTCGTCTTAGTCTTGTGATGGGAAGTGGACTATTACCCTAATAGTCGTATTTCTTAACCTGAGCCATTTCCTGAACATTGTGAAAGTATAATCATTAGTTTCAAAAAATCTCGATAAACCCAAATGATTAAGATAAGGACACAATAAATGGGGATATTAAAAAGCATACACAATTTCTTAAGCAATTCCCCTTGCTAATATTATACCTGATTCTCTTCTTTAAATATGTTTTTATTGATTTCACATAGAAACATCAACGATGAGAGTCATTGATCAACTGCCTCCTGCAGGCCCCCTACTGGGGATCGAGCCCGGAACCCAGGCATGTGCCTTGACCGGGAATTGACCTCCTGGTTCATGGATCGACTCTCAACCACTGAGTCACACTGGCCAGACTAAACATGATTCTTAACAGTTTTGAGTGTCTTATAATTTATGTGTTCCTTTGAAGCTTTTTAAATATATTGTGCCTCTTTAAAGCTTACTGTCACATATCTCTATGGCATTTCATGGGAATGGGTGTGTAATGAGAGTCACCCTTTGTTTGAGGTATTTGCAAAGAAACCAGGAAACCTAGGGTCTTAAAAGCCCTCTTGGAGGCTGAATGAATGAATAATTTACCTGTGAAGGACTTTGGTAGAGAATAGAGTTCCTTACTTTCCTTCCTGTAGAATAAGGGACCCTTATTCTAAAAACAGGAGGTAAGATTAATTTCAAAGATGGACGCAGTGCAAGAAAAGAGTGAATATAGGTGAGGCAGACACAACACAGAGAGAATGTGGGCAGGAAAAAACATTAAGTTACACAAAATACATTATATGCCCTGAGGTAAGGTGGGGAAGGGATCACAAATTTGACCCAAAGCTGCTTGTAACCAAAGGAAGAAGAGAAACAGCTGGGACAGATGCTGGGAGATCCCAGTTTAGTCATTAGCCACGAAGAGCCATCAGGGTAGATTGTGTTAGCAAAATGTTTTCATGTATGCTGTTTTATGGTCTGTTAATAGTTCCAAGGATTAGAGACCATGGGAGAAGAAATCTAGAACATTCCTTTCTGAAACCTGAGGCTCAGTTTCCTCATACTGACATTACTATTTCTTCTAAACAATGTTAATTGGGGTAGGTGGGGTAGAAGTCATGAGGCATGTTATTATTTAAAGTAAACATTTACGCCTCATGAAACAAGAATAGTTCTAAGGTTCATAGGAGGGGAGGCAGAATTCACAATTCATAGATTGTCAGCAAATATTGATTAAGGACCTTCTACTTGTCTGGTTACCTTGTTCTTAGGCACTGGAGATGTGGCAGTGAACACAGACATAAAGGGCACTTAAGAGATGGATGGTAGTGATGTTTGCACAGCAGTGTAAGTGTACAATGACACTGGATTGTGCACTTAAAGATGGTTAAAACTATAAATTTTGTGTAATATCTATTTTATCACAATAAAAAAAGACAGGGCAAGTAAAAAACAGTGTAATGAGACTAGGTCAAGTACCTTGGGGGTTAGGGACTCTCTGAATGGGCCTCTACCTTGCCTAAAGGGAGTAGAAGGGCTCCCTGGAGGGGTCACTGGGCCCCTGATCTGGAAAGAAGCAGGGGCCATTGCCCTGCATGACTTTTGAACTTTAGGGTATCAGGTGGGATCTGCTGTGTGTGACCTAAGGAGGAAGGTGGTCAATACTGAAGTGACTGTCCATGCCAGGCCTGGCTGGCCCCTTCCTTCTCCTAACCAAGTCCTTGCTGGTGCTTTCCTTCACAGACTGCCATTCTGAGACGACAGGGTCGATACTGGTGTTCCACAGTTCCTGCAAACGCACAAGAGGAGGCGCAGAGCTTATTTGTGACAGAGGTAATATGGTCCTTCTACAGTAATTTATATATTATTTTAAAATCATTATTTTCTAATGCCTCCCCCCCCCCTTTTCTTTAAATTTTAATGATGTTTTCAAGAAATGTCAGAGAGGTAATTATTTTTTTTTTTTATAATGGAAGTTAAAATCAGAGAATAACATGAGGTTTTCAGAATTTGAAACTTAGAAATTTCAACAGGGGATCATTTTTGATGACAAAACATGAATTTTGCAGAACTTCTACAATAAAGGGCAACTTTTCAATGAACTCATTAGGTGTAATGTCTGAGGCTTCATCACTGATATTTTTTTAATGGAGACTCAGTGCACACATTTATATATTGATTGACACTATTTACATGTTTATACTTGGAACTTACTTTCAAGACCAGTTCAATATTTATGAAGTGGCAGGTGAAAATGAGCTGAGCCTGACGATCCCTGATCAACATATGATTACTGTTACTTTTGTTTGAACATACAAATAGTGATCGTCATGAGGAGGAAAGAAAAGTTATTGCATTTAGATTGCTTGCGGTCCCCCTTCACCTTGGAGTGTTTGTTTCTTCCTCCAGGTGCTTTTAGGTAGGATACACTAATTAGATGTTTTAATTTGGTTTCTTGAAGTCTACCTTCATTTAAAAATAAGGGATTTCTATCCCCATTTTCTAGATGACAAATATGTCCATCTATAAGTTTGCCCACTAATAAGGAAGTTATGCTTTTATAAGTGAAGACCAATTAAAATAACAAGATTTAGTTTCCATTGAGATTTTTGAAAAATTCAATATGTATTTACATTTTTAAAAATGTGTTTTCTCATCCTTCTGAAAAGGTAACTTCTTATCTTACCTCCTTTCTACTATATTAGTAAAGTTAATTCTAGACAAATTCAGCCAGGTATGCTTATATAATCTTAAATGTGTATTTTAAAACAGGATGTAAGCAGATTGTGACTTACAGGCAAAATCTGGCCTGTAGACGGTTTTTATAAATAAAGTTTTGTTGCAGCACAGCCACACCCAATTGTTCAGCTGTTTATTGCCCATGACTGCTTTTACATTGCATTTCAGAGTTGAGTGGTTGCAGCAGAGACAACATGTCCTTCAAAGCTGAAAATGTTTACTGTTTGGCCATTTTCAGGAAAAGTTTGTTAACACCTGTTTTAAAGCATGCAGCAAAATTATTAATTACTATTTCAATTTTCCCAATTGCTTAAAAAATATGGTTTTTGAAAGACAACTCTCCATTAAGTTCTTTAGTCCCTGCAGGTTGAGCAATAGCGGCTTCATCCTATGCTGCTGGAGCCAACATAACTAAATCCTCTTGGGACCCTTCCACTAGGGTGGAGTGGAACAGCACTTCCTCCCCATCCTTTCGTCCAGAGGAGAATGACCTAATGGCTATTTAAAAAACGACTTCAAAAAACTTTCAGTATAACTTCAAAATATTATTGAATTTCACAAGTTTGAAAGGTCAGTCATGAAACCAGTCAGTCCCTGTGTTTTTAGAGATATAGTTCTCTGGATACTGATTTCTGATTGAACCCATTGTCTCCTAGACTTTCTATATCCCCAGAGGGATGGGTGTTGCTTGCCTTACTCCGTGTTTCTCCCTTGGAATTTAGTAGATGCCTGCTGTGTGGGCAATCAGCAGTGGCTTATTAAATGAATGAACCTCTGGCTACTTAACCTGTTTTTTGCAGTTCCTTGTAATTGAAAATATTTAAACATTATAATTATGTTTCTTAACTAGTTTTGCCGAAGGTATTAAAATTATGGGCACTCAGGTATTTTGTTCATAAATGCATACGATCATGTATATCGTACTTATTTATGTTTTAATTGGGCAGGTACATTTTATACTTCAGAATGGTTGTAATGACCTGCAAGAGACTTTGGTGGCACAACTTTAGTGGTCGTGTTGATGAGAAAGCGTCGTGGCCCTGAGGGCTGCTGCTGTCTCTTGATTGGGCCCGTCCACAAGACTGTATCAGACGCTGTCAGACCTGACTTAGCTGTGATAATGGACCTACGGACAGTAGTGGGAAAATCCAAACCTAAGGATAATTCTGAAATCACGCTGGTTTTGGAATGTAATTTTGAGTGTGGCTGTCTGATATTCGAAATGTGAAAGTGCTTTGAAAATTTTTTGAAAGCATTTACAAGAGTAAATTTGTATTTAAAAACATTTTAAACTACATAGCACAGAAATCGAAAAGTTGTTTAGCTCCCACTTTTGACTCCGTTCTTAACCTTTCTCTGCTGTTTATTCCACCCCTCTGACTGATGACAGGAAAACTTACACTACCTGCCCTTCAGAACCTTGCCAGTAAAGTGCTTAGCGTACAGCCTGGCACAGAGAAGCACTCACTATTGTTGCTGTAGTTATTTTCATGATTTCAGGGTGGAGGAGATTTTGCCTCAGAAGGCCTTCGGGCACAGGCTAAGAAATAGATAAAAAGGTTCACAATTAAACAATGAAGAGAATTAAGCAGAGTAGAGACTTTGTTCATGATGTTAGTTACAGCCAGAGTCAAGTGAAGTAGGTAAGACAGCACTACATTTATCTACCTATGTTTTCACTTATTTACTTTTTGCCATACTGAAGTCTACATACGTGTAGTCAAGAGCTGATTACACAGAAAAATTATATAGACTAAGCTGATAGTAACTAAATCAAACACTTCACCTATTGACTTGGACTTATTTGTATTTGAAGATCTGGCAGATGCCGCCTTATCTTAAGACTGTATGCTACTCAGTGATCCTCCTGGGTGAATGAATGAAAGACACCATGCTGGCCCCTTGTGTCTGTCATGGAGGAGGTAGTTTAATACAGTCTCTGTAGGTTAGTGTCATCGATAGAATCCTTGGCAATGAAATGCTCCATACTTTGTGCATCCTATACACACAGGCAGGTACACCTGAAGATGTCACGGTGCCACTGTGAAATGGGATCCTTCCTCCTAATAACCTCACTCTGTCCCTTATAACTAAAAGGAACAACTGAGGGCAAATTTATATAATATTGACTAACAGAGCCAGTTGTAATACGTATTAGTAAATACCATGAAAGTGTCTTATGGTTCACACTTCCTGTTCACTTTCATGTTCTAGTGGAGGCCACTACTTCTTAAGAACCAAGTGCTTTTAAGTCAGAAACTACATTGTTATGTAAATGTAGCACCAGTGGGTAAAGTTTGTCTCCTGTAAAATCTGCTCTCAGATCATGAATAATTGTAACTTAAAGTGGCCCTTCTCCCAAGGTGGGATATTTTAGTGCTTCTTAAGCTTCATGGAACCTCTGATGGTGGAATTTCAGGCATGAGAACATTGAGGGGAAAGAATTTTTTTGATATGGGTGTATATTCATAAATCTTCCCAAATGTTCTCAAAAAGTCATCACATGTTTTTATTTTATTTTTCTCATGTATCTTCTATTTTTTTAATCTACCCTCAATAGTGCATCAAAACCTATAACTCTGACTGGCATCTTGTGAACTATAAATATGAAGATTACTCAGGAGAGTTTCAACAGCTTCCAAAGTGAGTAAATGGACAGACCACGCAAGGTGGGGTTATACACATAGAGAAACTTCTTTGTACTTAAAATGTTTAGGGAGATATGTAACTTCTAGCCATCAGATTAATTGGAGAAAATATTTCTAGATGATTTGTGTGTATAAGGGGTAGCTATTGTTTATAGGCCATTTGATAATAGGACTCAATCCCAGTACTCTGAGATTGGCAGGTGGTAATAAATACATGGATGGTTTAATTATGTCAAGTGATTCTTTTCAGGCTACCACTGATAAAACAGGAAAATTTTTTTCAGTGAGAAATAGAAAACAAAGAAAATGTAAGGGTTTTGAAATATGCTACAATGTGTTTTATCTTAAAAAGAATATTTTAAAAAAAAATAACAATTTTATGTTTTATGAATTTTTTTCCCCATTTTTTTACTGGATAAATTTTAGGTTAAAAGCATATCAAAGAACAAGCATTTCCCCAGACAAATTTCTTTACCTCCTTTAAAGTATTAACTTACTCTAGAATATACCAAAAGCAGGTATTTAGATTGATTAGTGGAGGTTAAAGTAAACCAGGGATAGGTAGGTCTCACCTTGAGAGGATATCTATTATAAAATGGTACACCCTTAAATGATACAGTTGGCAAATTTAAATATAGTTGATTATGAAAATTGAAAGCAGATGGTGGATTGTATTTCAAAAGTAACCTTCGTCAATGGAAATTTTACTTGAGATCCTATTAATATATTTTTCTTTGTGTTTGTTGCATCTATGGGTTTAATTTGTTTTTACTATTCTTGATGGATCTAGCTATTTGTTTTTCTATTTGTGTGGTTCAGCCACTCCTTAAGAGTGGTTAGCCAACTTCTCAAATGCCTTTTTTTTAAACCTCAGCCAAGAACACTCCCTTCCAGCATTATCTTCTCCAGATGGCTATGCTTCTTAGCTCTATATTCACCCAATACTCATGTGGGGGGTTTTTAATTCTTCCCATTTGATCCAATTAACCTAGCTTTGCTGATAGTCTTGTTTGTGCTATTTGCACTGTGGCTAAAAGAGAATAAACTGTGAGATATATTGTACTTACTATATGATATACTTCTAATGCTGATAGGTTTCACTTTGGGGCATTAATAAGAGTTTCTGATTGTGATGCGAATGAGAGGAAAGATTGTAACAGTGATTAAGAACATAGACTCTTCGGTGTCTGCATATGTTGTGTACTTGCTCTGCTCTCTGTAAGCCTTAGTTTCCTCATCTATTAAATGGCTTTAACACCACGGAAAGGAATAAAGGAGAAAACACAGCACAGTGCCTAACTCATAATTGTTTAATAAATGCTAGCTGCTATTGTTATTGTCATGTTTCGTTAATGCCTACCAAGTCTTTATTTATTAATAAACTTTCCCATCTTAAAATACCTATGTAACTCCCAACCTGCTATGCCGTCTTTTCTACATAGCATTTGGAGTTCTCTTAACTCCACTGTGAAAAGCAGTGGCATTGATGGTTTTTATCTATCTGAGTGGGCGGCTTTGGGCTTGTTAAATGCTGAGTCCTCTGATGGGAGAGGAAATGCAGCAGCTTTTCGTGGGTCAGGTGATTATAAAACAAGTTTTTTTCCTTCTTTTTAAAGCAAAGTGGCCAAGTTGGATAAGCTTCCAGTTCATGTCTATGAAGTTGATGAGGAGGTTGACAAAGACGAGGTAGGATGATCCTCACAGATTTAAAAATTGATTTATTTTACAGACTTAGAAGATTGATTAGAAAATCACCAATGTTGAGCCGAAACAGGAATTGGAATGTTTCTTGAAATGGGAAGAATTTTTAAAAATGTGTTGTTTGATTGATTGAAATACTGTTTCTGTTTCAACTTGACTACTTAGCATCTGTAGCATGTTCTCCTGGTCCTGTTTATTTGTTCTGAGATCATTTTCAAAGGCCTGGATAAAATTTGGCTGCACTGTTAAAATATATCAAGATTACGTCCACCTTAAGGTTATGTTGTTTTTCAACAGGATGTCTTAAAATAAGCTGGTAGCCAGTAAATTTTAAATGACTGTTTTTCAGTGATTGCATTGAGTGGAGTATAGTACCCAGAAGCTTTGATTTTAACAACCACACTTCCCCTACTATTGCAGAAATGATTATGGTGAGGGAAGTGTGCAAAACGCAGGGCATGAAGGTGACTGCCCACTGACCAAGGGAAACCTCCTAACTGTCAGTGCTGCCCGTCTCTGCATCTCTCATTCTCCTCTGCTCACTGTTGGACGCCTTATCATGAGTTTAGTTTTTCTTTTCTTATTTAAATTGTCAGCTAAGCCAGGAACACCAGCCCCTCATGAAGTTGAGCAGTGCCCTTGGTAGCAAATTATTTTAGAAACCACTTTTTAAATAATTCTGGGAAGAGGAGGTAGTCATTCATCATGAAAAACAAGCTATTAAAAACGTGGTGCTGATTAATAATAAGAGGAAGACACGTAAAACAAATTATAAAATACTGGATAGAAAGTTATTTCTATTATTGCTAATAATAAGAACAACAAAAACCACCAATGTTAATATTGAGATGTTCTAAAACAAAGCATAAAATGGGTCTTTATGCAAGTGTCTACTTGATTACAAAATTAAGGATTGTAATTAGAGACTGGTTTTAGGAGGTGTGAGCTGGGTAACCTGACACTGTGTGGCCTTCTTTTCCCAGGGTATCTGCTGAAGTGTATGTTGGGCACAGCCTTAAAGGGGGAAAGAAGTGACAAGGGGGTGCCCTTAAAGAGTGTGGGAGGATGTGGTGGAAGACTCACTAGATTGTGTATTTGTGTGTGTATATATTTCATCGGTCTGTTTATTATGTGTACAAATATACGCCTATATTTTTAGCAGTAGCTGGCCGCTCCACCCCCTTAAACCCAGATCTCAGAGCTTGGGGTGAGAACTTGAAAAAGCATGTTTCTTTACTTTTCTAGCTGTTTCTTTTCACTTTTCTAACGCTCCTCCTTTCCTCTTTCTCTGTTGCATTTGTCCCTCTTTTCCTTCTTTTCTGTTGCCCCATCATGTTACCTCTCCTTTATTGCCTCGTATTTCCTTCCTCCCTTTCTTTATTCACCTTTCCCTGACCTAAGCCTCTGGGAAGTTTTCCAGGAATTTGCTTTTGTCTTTCAATAATAGGGGAGTTGTAATTTGAAAACATTTTTCTTGAAACCAGGCGAGACCTTACAACTTGAGTGGTCAAGTATGGTATGTACTTTCTGTGGCTCATTAAACACTTAAAAATAAAAAATTTTATAGTGGAACTAGCTTTGCCTTTTAATGGACTAGGGTTTTCAGACATTTAGACTTGTCCCTCTCTTTCCCTGTTAAGCGGACTCTAAAGTGACTTGTAGGTGTTAGCGTCAGATGGTTTCTCCAGTAAAGGGGCAAGGGGCAACCCAACACCAAATGAATGATTTTCCCACTAACCAGTCTCACAGCAAATAGCATAAGTAATAACGGGAGCTTGATTGCTATGTTTTTCTTCTCTCCCAGGATGCTGCCTCCCTTGGCTCTCAGAAGGGTGGCATCACCAAGCATGGGTGGCTGTACAAAGGCAACATGAACAGTGCGATAAGTGTCACCATGAGGGTAAGGAGGCCCACCACCCTGTTTTGCCCTCTGATTAAATTCTTGCTGCTGTAGGTCTTAGAAATAATGCTCAAGATGAATGGGTGTGCTGTTCTTGACAAAAATGACATTGTCTGGTTAGTAAGATGCTCCCTTTTTTTTTTAGTAAGATCGACCCGCATTCATACAGACCCTTCCACCCACTTACCGGTCACCCTCTCACCATCACTGGGCTGGTATGAAGGTGCAGTTGCTAACACAGCCTTTTTTTCTCTGTATTAACTACAAAAATGATACTCGGTACCTCAAAGCACGCCACCGAGAGGCTAACCCTAAGCACTTTTGTGGAGGTCTGCTGCAGCAAAGTCAAGTGAAGTGAAAGTTGAGGACCAAAGGGAAAATGGTAACATTGGAAGAAGGCTGCAAAGAGGAAAGTAAAACCAGTGTAAAAACCTACTCAGGAGAGAAACTGGGCTACAGAAAGACCAGGACTAATAATAAAGAGAAAAGAAACAACGGAGGCGGGATAGGATGGACAGGGAGATAAAAATTAAATCCGGGAAAATGCTGACTGTCTCGGTCCTGAGGATGGAAAATTGTTCAGTGTCACGAGGCAAAGAATAGTTTCTGTTCTGTGTGAGCAGGAAACCCTGGGGATTTGAGAAAGTTTCCACCCCTCTGAGCTGCATCCCAAATCAGAACTCACTACACTGCTTTTGGGGAGTTACGTAAAATCCCACATTCTGTGGGTGAGAAAAATGACCCACAGATGTTAGGTGAACCACTTCCTTAGAATTGAGATACAGGTCGAGGGGCCAGCGGGGGAGGAAAGGGGG